CTCGAGCAGCAACGTGAAAAGACTTCGTTGAACTTTGCGCTGTTGGGCAACCCCGGCACCGGCAAGACGACGGTCGCGAACCCACCCACCCCCGCCCCGCCGCCACCACTCGCCTCCACTGACCACCACCCCTCACCTCCACTCTCCACCCCTCGCCCCCACCGCCCCTCTTTGTGCGCGCGCAGGTCGCACGACTCCTCGCCGGCCTGCTTTGCGAGCTGGGGCTGCGCGAGGGCTGTGCAGACGACATCGATGAGACGACGGGCGAGGCGCTGGCGCGTGACGGCGTCGACGAGGCATCGACGCGGCTCGAGGAGGCGTCGGTGCTGCTGGTTGACGACGCGGCCGCGATTGAGCCCAAAAAGTCCGCCGAAGGCCGCGCCGTCCTCTCGCTGCTGGCCGATCACGCTGAGCGCTCGCGCGAGAGCCTCTCCATCCTCCTCACGGGCACCAAGGAGGAGATCGAGAGCAAGCTCTATGCGCACGCCCCCGCGCTCCGCTCGCGGTTCAAGGAGGTTGAGTTCGAGGACTTCAGCGAGGCGGACTACCGCGACATCATCGTCCAGCTGTGAACAGCGTCTCTTCACACCTCCCGCTGTGAACAGGCGGACCTCCGCGACATCTTCGTCGACTCAGTCTCAACTCGGATGTGGACTCTCGAGCCGGCGGTCGCGGAGGTGGCGGCGAGGCGCGCGGCGCGCGGCCGAGGCACCAAGGGCTTCGGCAACGCGAGGGAGGTGCGCAAGGTGTACGAGGCCGCCTACTCCCGCGCTCTCGAGCGTGGTGGCGGTCGATCGACCACGCTGACGATCCTGGACGTCATCGGGCCGCCGCCGACGCCGGAGCACGTTCCGTCGCTCGGCGTGGCTCTGCGCGAGCTCTGGCTGCATATCTCCCCATACCTCCCCAGATCTCCCCAGATCTCCCCTAGGCGTGGCTCTGCGCGAGCTCGAGGAGAAGGTGGGGCTGCGAGAGGTGAAGGAGGCGACCGCCGCTCTCGTGCGACTCGCGGAGGCGAACCACAAGCGAGAGCTGCGCGGCGCACACCCCCTGCGCGTCCCGCTCAACCGTCTCTTCCTCGGCAATCCTGGGACGGGCAAGACGACGGTGGCGAAAATCTACGGCCGCGTGCTCAAGGGCACGGGGCACCTGAGTGACGGGGGTGTGGTTCTGGCGGTGGCGTCGGACTTGCTCGGCTCTGCGGTGGGCGAGAGCGAGGAGAAGACGACGCGGCTGCTCGAGGCGGCGAGGGGGAAGGTACACACACACACACACACAACACAGCACACACACACACACACACACACACACGCACGCACACACACACACACACACACGCACGCACACACAACAAACACACAAACACACACACACACAACAAACACACCAACACACGCACACACAAACACACACACACACACACACACACAAACACACACACACACACACACACACACACAGAGAGAGAGAGAGAGAGAGAGAGAGAGAGAGAGAGCTGCTGGTCAGCATTTCGCTGCACGGCTCGCCATCGCGGCACGGCTCGTACCCCTGTAGGTGCTAGTGATCGACGAGGCGTACTGTCTGCACGGCTCGTCGTACGGGGAGGCCGCCATCAACACGCTCGTCTCCTTGGTGCACAACGAGCCCGGAGAGGACGTCGCGGTGCTGCTGCTCGGGTACGAGCCGCAGATGAAACGGATGCTCCGCGACGCCAACCCGGGGCTGCAGCGCCGCTTCAGCCTCGAGGCGGCCTTCCGCTTCGCCGACTTTACTGACGCCCAGCTCGAGCTCCTCCTCCACCGCGCAGCCGCGCGCGACGGGCTCCGCCTGCCCCGCGCCGTGCGCAAGGCGGCTCTCGCGAGCCTCTCTCGCGAGCGCGTGCAGCCCAACTTTGGCAACGCCGGCGCGGTCAACTCGCTACTCGGCCGCGCCAAGACGGCGCTGGCCGCGCGCGGCGAGGCGGCCGCGGCCAATGGCGAGCTTACGATTGGCGACGTGCTCGGCACCGCGAGCGCCGACAAGGGGTGCGGCGCACGTGAGCGGCTCGCCTCGATGCACAAGTGCGAGCACGTGCTGTCGCACCTCGACGCGATTGAGGCGGTCACGGCGCGGCTTCGCGCCGACGGCAAGCTCGCCCCCGACGCGCCCGCGATGCACGTTGGCAACTACATCTTTACGGGCGCGTCGGGGACGGGCAAATCGACGGTGGCGCGGCTGCTGGCCTCCGAGCTCTTTCGAATCGGCGTCCTCACGTCGGACGCCTTTGCTTGCGAGTCGGCACTTAACCTGCAGGGCGACTATGTCGGCCAGACCAAGACAAAGGTCAATGAGCTGTTCGCGTCGGCTCCGGGCGGCTTCATCTTCATTGACGAGGCCTACTCGCTCGGCCAGGGCTACTTTTCGCGCGAGGCGGTCGACCAGCTCACGTACCTCCTCTCGACCGATGCGCACCGCGGCCGTACCATCGTCGCGCTGGCTGGCTACCCGGCAGAGATGCAGCGCATGCTAGCTGTCGCGAACCCGGGCTTCGCCTCCCGCTTCAAGCAGCGCCTCCAGTTTCCAGACTGGGACGCCGCCGACGTCGAGGCGTACCTGCGGCGGCGCTGCAGCGCCGAGGGGATCGAGCTTCGCGATGGCGGCGCCGTCGGCGCCGCGCTCGAGGCGCTGCGCGGCTTTGCGGGCTGGGCGAACGCGCGTGACGCAGAGTCCCTTTACGACGAGCTTTTCTCTGCCCGCGCGGTACGCCTCGGTGGGGCGGGCGAGGAGGACACGCCCGCCTTTGTCGGCGCTGACGCAGACGCGGCGCTCGAGGCGCTCGCACGCGGCCGGTCTGAGCGACCGCCGCCTCCACCGCTTCCACCGACCCGACGGGCGACCAGGCCGCCGTCCGCCAGCCGTGGAGGGGGCGGTGGCGGTGGCGGTGGCGGCGGCGGTGGTGGCGGCGGTGGCGGTGGCGGCGGCGGCGGCGGTGGCGGCGGTGGCGGCGGCGGTGGCGGTGGCGGTGCAGGGGCGGGGCCTCCGGTGGAGCGCACCAAGCAGCGGGAGAAGACGCGTGTGGCCGGGGGCGACAACGGCAGCGAGAGCGATAGCGGAAGCGACGACGAGCGGATCACGGCGGCGCTGCAGGAGGCGTGCGTCTCGCTTGGGTACGACGAGTCTCAGGCGCGGCGGCGCGAGCTGGTCACGATGCTGTCTGGTGTGCAGCAGGGCGGGCCGTTTGCTGATGACCTGCTTGGCTGGGTGGTGGATAAGACGGGCGCCAGCCAGGCGACAGTGATCCGAGTGCTCAAGCCGCAGGTGGCGACGGTGCTCAAGGCCACGCAGGCGGCGGTCTGCCAGAATGAGCAGGAGCTCTTCCAGAAGGATTCGGCGCTGCGCCAGCACCTCCGCGATCTCGGTCTCTGTGAGGCGGGCTTTGGGTGGCACCGCGAGGGCGCCGGCTTCCGCTGCAACGGCGGGATCTGCTACATCCACGAGTCAGAGTTGAGCTCGTGCCCGTCGTGGAACGCGTGACTCAAAGCGCACCAAGGTACACCGCAGAAGCCCTCTCGTGGGGTGGAGCGTGGAGGGGTGTGAGTGGGTCGTAGAGTACAGCCCCCCGCGTCTCACGACGTGTGTAAGGTGCGTGTGAAATTAGACGGCGACACGAAACTTCGCTTGTTTATCTACTATAGTGTTCCGGACCAGTCTCTGCTCTCCGGCCCGGTTCCGTTCTATCTCCACCGGGTCGCTCTCGCTGCTACCCTCCCCCGCCCTCTGGCCGCCGGAGCGGCACGCCGCCTCCCGATAGCGCTCCGTCGGGCAGCAGCGGCTGGCCGAGCGAGGCGGGGAGGAGGAGGGCCGAGGCCGGCTCGGCGCGGGGCGAGAGGTAGAGCGTGCCTCCGCGGCTGATCGGCGGGGAGACGTGCGGCCTTGCGTGGGGCGACCGCTCGAAGAGGCTGCCCGAGGTGCTGTCGACGCTGTCGCTGCCGGCGGGGCCGTCGGGGGCCAGGGCGGCCGCGCGCATGCCCGCCACCTTTTGGCGCGAGAGAGGGAGAACGGGCGTGAGATGACATGTGTGCTCCCGAGGCTGCTGCTCCACGAGATCAAGAGAGAGTGGAGGGAGGGAGGGAAGGGAGGGAGGGAGGGAGGGAGGGAGGGAGTGGAGGGAGGGAGAGCGAGCGAGGGAAGTGCCCCCTCCGCCTCGTGCACGAGCAGCGTGAGGAGGAGGAGGGCGCCTCCGTACACGGTGAAGGGGTCGGGCGCGTCGCCAAAGGCAAAGAAGACCTGCGGAGGGTGAGGTAGAGGTAGGGTGAGGTAAACCTCTCCACACACACGAGAGGGGGTGGGGTAGGGGGTGGGGTAGGTGGAAGTGGTGGGGCAAGGGCCAGGCTTAGACCCTGCGCATCTCCACCCCCGGACACGGGCAGGAGCTGGCGCACGGCCATGAAGGCCCAGTGCGCGTGTGGGTGGGAGAGGCGGAAGGGCGGGTGAAGGCGCGATGAGAGGGGGCAGCCGCATGTGCGTGGAACTTGTCGCACCCACACCGGGCCGAGTACAGTCTCCCCGAGAAGGACGAGGGCGCACTCTGCGCCTAGGAGAAGGTTCCTAGAAAGTTCCGAGAAGGCTCCTACGAGAAGATCGAGGGCGAAGGCGCACTCTGCGCCGGTGATGAAGCGAGGGCAGAGGACTAGGGCGGTGTTGTAGAGAGCGATCCCGGCAGCGTTCAGGCTCAGGAAGAGGAAGAAGCGGGGCGTGAGGCGCGAGCCGCTGGCATGGCCGCTGGGCTGCATCCGCTGCATCGCCACGGCGAAGCCGATCGAGGCGAGCGAGCCTATAGGAGGCGGCTCCTAGAAGGCTCCTAGAAGGCTCCTAGGAGGCGAGGGACGAGAGACGAGGCCGGCGAGAGGGCCGAGGGCGGGGGAGAGCTCGAGCGAGGAGCGGGGGAGGCGGAGCGCCACGAAGCGCGCGAGCGTGAGGTAGGCCGCCATGGCGATGCCCGTGGCGAGCGGGATGAGGTCGAGCGCGTCGGGCGTGAGCTCGTAGCAGTCAGGCACGAAGACCACCGCCAGCGAGATTAGAGCGCCCCCCTGCGCGAGCGCCGTGCGGGCGGGCAGCTCGTCGCCGCAGACGGCGTAGCCGAGGAGCGCCGCCCAGAGCGAGTTGAGGCTGATGAGGAGGAGCGACTTGGCCGGGTCCACCTGCCGCGACCAGCATGGCTGGGGCCGCTCACAGGTCACGCGAGGGGCGGCACTGCACGTGTGTGTGTGTGTGTGTGTGTGTGTGTGTGTGTGTGTGTGTGTGTGTGTGTGTGTGTGTGTGTGTGTGTGTGTGTGTGTGTGTGTGTGTGTACGTGCGGTGAGGGACGACCCAGAGAAGCGAGAAGACGAAGCCGAGGTTGGAGGCCGTAACGAGGAGCGCGGCGGCGAAGTTGCACTTTGGCGCTAAAGTGCTGGCCCGGAGGAGGCCGCGCACGCCGGACATAGAGCTCGCGATCGCAAACTGAATGGCTCCGACCAGGAGGTACCGCCAGATTAGGATCGTGCTCGACGGAGCGCCCTCGTCGTTCTCCAATCGGAGCAGCATCGCGTCGGGCGTTGCACCAAGCATGCCCACGAGCGCGATCAAAAGACCGATTTTCCGGCTCTCCATCTTCCGAGACACTGGGATCGAGACGTCAGTCGCTTCGAGTGGCTATAGCCTCGCGCTTCTTGGTCTTTCGGTGTGCTGCCCAGATCACGCGCGTAGCCGCCGTACTAGGTTTTTTTTTCAAACTCAAGTCTCAAACAATTATTCAAGCAGCGCTATTCGCAAGAGCGCGCGGCGCCACTCTCCCAAGAGCGCCACCGCCCCACCTCCAGAGCGCCGGGACGGCGCTTACCTGGAGATGCCCGTCTCTCCGACCTCGTCCCCGCCCCCTCTCGCTGGGTCTGGCAAGGCTGCAGCCGGCAGTCCGGACGCGAGCCACCTCCCGAGCTCGTTTGGGTAGGCGGCGCCGTAGTCGAACCGCTCTGGCGGCGCGGGGAGGCGAGACACCTCGTCGACGGGAAGGCGGCGGAGCGAGCCGCCGTAGCAAGTGGGCACCGACGAGGCGGGTGCGCGGGAGAGGAGGGCGCCCGGACTCGACTCGGTGTCGAGGATGGCAACTTGCTTCGCGTTCTCTCCCACAAAGGGCGAGACGAGGCTCCAGAAGACGGCCATCGCCTTGGCGGCGTTCACGGTGAGCATGAAGCCAAAGAGGGAGGGGTAGAAGTTGTCCGCGAGCGGGAGGCAGGGCCTGAACTTCCACGCCACCCTCACGCTGATATGCCGCATCCCGATGCCGCGCGCGTCAAAGTGCGTCGACCAGCGGCAGAGGCGGCCGGTGGCGGCCGAGCGGCGGTCGTTGTGGTAGCTCGCGTGCTCCAGGACGTACAGATTAATCACAAAGATCTCCGCCGCGGTGGCGCAGTTCAAGAAGGCATCCACCTCGAAGACGTCGTTGGCGTCCACGTAGGTGAGCCGATCGCCGTCGTCCGTCGGAAGATTTGTAAAGGCGAGCAGCACGTGCGGGCAGATCCGGTCCATGGCTGGCCAGTCCCTCGGCTGCAGCCCGGCGGCGATGCTGGCGCGGATGGCGTCGGCGCCCACCTCGGCTCGCCACGCCGCGGTGCTGCGGATCTGCTTCTCCGCGGCCGACAGCTTCCAGCGGTGCTTGAGGAGGAAGCGGAGCAGCGTCCACTCGGAAAACTCGTCCAGCTTCCAGCCGGCCTCCTTTGCGATGAGCGTCGCGGAAGCAAGCGCTTCCTGCTGCTGCTCAGTGAGAGTGTCGAGGGAGATGGGTGCGGGCTCCCCCATGCTTCGCGATGAGCTGGGTCGTGAATCCGACGCCACCGAGTTGTCAGTATGGCTGCGGCTGCGACCCAGCAAGGTCGCTAATATGCGCGTCATCTTCAAACACCCCCCCCCACGCACCTGGGGACCCCCCTCTAGGTCGACGGTCTGACCAGGTGGAGGTGGGGGGGGGTACCTACACCCCCCTGTCGCTCAGCGGTCCCGAGCCAGCGGCAGCTGACCCCCCCTCCGGTAGCTTACCCCCCCCTCGGTCCTGCCCCCTCGCAGCTTGCGGAGCTGACCCCCCCCTCGGTCAGCTAGGGTCCGGGGCGGAGCCCCGGCGGGGTGCGGGGCGGAGCCCCGCGAAGAAAATTTTGCGTTTTTTGCAAGCAAAATATCGGTCGTCGGCCCTTGTGCTTGAAGACTTGTCGCCTGTGCCACCGCCGCGGCCGCCCTTCTCCAAACGCCGCACATCGACAAGCTGGCAAGGGAGGGAGTTCGCTTCACCGATGGCTACGCGACTGCGGCAGTGTGTGGACCGAGCAGGAGCGGGATCATCACTGGCACCTACCAGCAAAGGTTCGGGATGCAGGCGAACCCCGACGGCAACAGATACACGGTCCCTGCGATGCACAAGGTCATGCCAGAGGCGCTGTCCGCAGCTGGGTACAAGACGGGAATGTTTGGGAAGTGGAACATGCCGCAAGGGAAGGGTGCTGAGGAACTCTTCACCGAGGCGAACGGTGTCATGGACTGGGTGGGCGATTTCTGGCCGAACGCGGACGGCAGGTTCAATGGGGTGGACGACGGCCCGAGCGCTACTCATATGGACTGGCTGCCCCACTGGGGCCCGGAGCGGCCGGGCGACGAGTACCTAACGGACAAGCTCACGCGGCACGCCGTCGACTTCATCGAGAAGTACAAGGACGTTCCCTTCTTCATCTATCTCGCGTACAACGCGCCGCACAACCCGTGGCAGGCCAAGCTCAGCGATCGCAACGAAACAATCGCGCAGCTGTGGAACGAGCCAAAGGCCATCTACGCGGCTATGGTGAAGGCGGTGGATGACGGTGTGGGGCGGGTGCTGGACAGGCTATACAAGGACAGAATTGACTCTCGTACCCTCGTCGCCTTCGTCTCGGACAATGGGCCTGACTCGGGACACCGCCCGCAACCGGGGTGGAAGGCGGAGTGGCCGAATCCGGTCGTGATGGGAGACGAGGGGGCGCTTTCCGGTGGCAAGAATCAGCTGGCAGAGGGCGGCATCCGCGTGCCCTTCATCATGCGGTGGCCGGGCACGATCCCTCGCGGTGAGGTATACACAGAGCCGGTGATGAGCTTCGATTTTTACACGACTTTCTTGGCCGCCGCGGGCGCCGACATTCCAAGCGGGACGGACCTCAGCGGCGCGAACCTCCTGCCGTTCGTGAGAGGGGAGGCGACGAGCCGACGGCCGCACGACCTGCTCTTCTGGAAGTCGAAGAGACATTTTGCTGTGCGCTGGGGCGATTGGAAGCTTTCCACCGTTTATGCCCGCGGCAGCGAGGGTGGGGTGGCGCTCTACAATCTGAGAGATGACATCGGCGAGAGGCACGATCAGTCAACCATGCGCCCTGACATCAAGCGCAACCTACTGGATGAATACCGAACGTGGTGCGCGCGCATGCCCGTCTCCGCCAGCGGCATCAGCAACTGCTAACGTAGGGCCTTTAGGGGCCTAGAGAACAACCCCCCTCTCTCTTTTCTCCCCAGTGAGCTAAAGTACGTAGAGCTCTACAGAGCAAAACAGCGGCAAATAGCTTGGCCGACTCCTTTGTGTGAGCAATCTCCACACATCCTGCGTCGCGCGGCACCCCTTGTTGCGCCGCGCGCACACCGCCCCGTCCGCTCCATGGGCGCACTACACCCGAGCAGCTCTCGTCTCCTCCTCGCCTCCTCCCGCGTCGCCGAGCTGCTCCTCGCCGCCGTCCGCGGCGCGGCCGAGGCGTCGCACCGAGGCGCCCCAGCGTCTGCGAAAGGCGGAGACGTCGGTCTCCATGAGGGTGCCGACGCCGCCCCAAGCGAGCTGGTCGCCGAAGGAGCCTGCGCCGTCGCCAACCTCTCGGAGGGCCGCGAAGCCGAGGCGGCGGTAGTAGCGGACGAGGGTGGCGTGCTGGCGCGGCTCGTCGTAGATCGCGAGCAGCTGCGCGCGCCTGGGGAGGGAAGCGGGCCGGGCTTTGGTCAGTCGAAGCGGAGGCGGAGGGGTGGAGGGAGGCGGCGGCGGGGGCTCCGACAGGGGCGCACGTGTTTCGGAAGGGGCACCGCTCGAGGAGGAGGCAGGCCACGCCTGCGAGCGGAGGAGGCGGGGCGGGGAGGTGGCGGGGCGGGGAGGTGGCGGGGCGGGGAGGTGGCGAGTGGGTGAAGAGGGCGAGACGTGAAAAGAGGGCGACGGGCCACTTTCCACTGAGCACAGGGAGGCTGCGAGAGGGCGAAGGGAGGGCGGAGCCCCACCGACCGACAGCAACAAGCCAAGCCCGTGCTGGTCGAGCTTCGGCACGGCGGCGTAGCGGCGGCCGTCGCGGTTGAGGCGCGAGCGGCTCCAGTAGCCAGAGTAGCGGCGCACCTGCCAGCGGGGCGGCCACGGTTGGCGTCTCTGCCTCCACGAGAGCCGCCGCGAGACGCCGCCTCACGCCTGGATGCTCTCGAGGTGCGCCACGCCAGTCGGCAGCGTGAACCCATCGCTGTAGCCGAGCAGGCTCGGCTCCTCTTCGCCGGGGCCCTAGTGGCACGGGGCAAGCATCGGCTGCGACGGGCCGGGGATCGCCACGGTTGCGCATGCAGCGGCAGGGCCGCGCCTCCCACAGGAGCTCGAGGCGGTAGGCAGGGCCGGTCACGCGCGCCGACAGCCGGCACCCGAGCCGCGCCGCCGCAGCCTCGACCTCGGAGTAGGCAACGGGCGAGGTCGAACACGCGCGGGCGGAGGCAGCGGCGGCGACAAAGAGCAGCCAGCTTTGCCGCGACATCAGTGTTTACACAACACGAAAAGAATTTTCCAACTCGCCTCGCACAACCGTGCCGTTCTCCGTTTGCGGCTACGACTCTGAGGCGCCGGAGGAGATCCAGAACGAGGCGCTCTACCGGGCCTGCCGCGCGTACGGCTTAGGTGAGCAATTCCTCGCTGCGGCGCAGGACGAGGGCACATTCGGCGAGTGGCTCGACGAGCTACCCTTCGAGGTGGCTGCGGCGACCGCCCGGCTGCTCAAGCACCACGCGCGCTCCGGCGCGTGGGTCGAGCTCTCGCCCGGCAACCCTAGCCAGGCCTCACGCGCTGGCCGCGACCGCGACCGCTCGAGCCCGAACTGCCCGTCAGATATGTCGGAATTGTCGGAGAATAGCGACTAGCACACCTCTGAGTCCCAGAAACCCGAGGAGTCACACAGTCCACCTGTATGATGCACGCCCTGCGAGCGGGGCGGGGTGCGCACTGTCCCTCTGTGTTCGTGTGCGTCGCCCATCTCTCCCTGGAGATGACTGCTCTATTTATTTATTTATGCCGTTCTCCCATCCCTCCCTTGGGTTGTCTGTTTTATTTCTTTCTTTTACTGGGCACGGGACTGGCGCGCACCCGAGCACGAAGAGCAGCAGCACGCGAGAGAGCGGCCTCGGCCCGCGAGCTCTCGCCTGCATTGCCGTTCTTACCGAGTCGCTTAGGCGGCTCCGGTGGTTTGCCTGTGTTAGTGCTAGCACGCGCCAGTCCGCACCTGTGTCGAGCCTGTCTGCTGTGTGAGAGAGAGTTGGTTTGGTTAAATTCTTTTTGTGGTGTACCAACCAGTTAGTGCCAGTGGTGCGCGCCAGTCCCGGCGGCGCGGCGTGCAAACGTGGTGGATGGTACGCACTGGACAAAAAGTAATATATCTTTACTTCCAACACACCCGGACGTTCCCAGGGTGATGGAAGGTTCGACGCACCCCCGGACTGGGCGGAGAAATCCCAGGGTAAAGACGCTGGGCACTCCACCCCGCCCCCACACTTGCCCTGACTGCACAGGATAGCGTGCCCCGACGAACGGCGACACATAGCGGGGGACACTGCGCCGGGGGGTATGCCTAACTTTGGTGCTTTGTGTGGGTCGCGTTCCCTTGGTAGCTGTGTGGCTGAAGCCCTCGTGCCGCTGGCGTGCCCCCTCCAGCGGCTGGCCCCTCGAGACTGTTGGTGCTTGGCGGGAGGAGGGGGAGAGGGAGGCCCGGTGGGAGGAGAGGGAGAGGGAGGCCGCCTTGGGGAAATCTTCCATGATGGCGGCTCTTCTCCTCTCCTCTCCCTGGGCTCTTCTCCCCTCTCCTCCCTGGTACTCTCGGCCTGATTACCGGAGCGTCTGCTGGAGAGCAGACGCTGGGGGGACACTCACGCCCGAAGGCGGTACGCACGACCCGGAGGCGTGGGGATGGGGGGGTGCCGCGCCGCCGCCCGTGCCGCCTTCTCCCGCTTTGATCTCCCTTAGCTGCTTCTCCTCAACCCAGCCTGCGAGCTTGCGAGGGCGGCGGGGGTGGGAGTGCTCTCGGGCGGCGCGTGATCTCTCTGGGCACGGTGGGTCGGGTGAGTATCGCCTCGCGCACTATTTCACGTTATGTCAGGCGCTGCCCCTGACTGACATCGAGCATCTTCTGGCGCGACTCGCACTTGAGCAGGCGCAGCATCAGGTCGAGCTCCGGACGGGTGAGGAGAAGTGCGGCTGGGCCGGGTGTGACACCTGCACAATTTGCCTGCCCTGTCTGGCACATTGCCCGTTCGCAACCCGACCCTGGAATCAGAAGTGCGAGTGGCCCGGCTGCGGTGGCTGCACAGAGTGCTTGGCTCCGCCGCCTTCCCCACCCACACAATGCAAAACGTACTGCGCCTACCGGACACATCCGATTGAGGAGAAGTGCAAGTGGGCGAACTGCAACGGATGCAGCGAGTGCACAACCCCAATACGCGCTCCGCCACCGCCGCCGCCACCGCCGCCTCCCTCACCACCACTGCTGTCGCCGCCTCTCTCGCCGCCTCCCCCACCGCCACCTCCGCCGCCGCCGTCACCCTCCCCGAGCCCGTCGCCGCCGCCCTCCCCGAGTATGGCGCCGCCGCCCTCGCCGCCTCCCTCACCACCACCTCTGTCGCCGCCTCTGTCGCCGCCTTCTGCAACGCCGCCCCCCTTTGATGTCACCGTCACATGGCCGCAACCCCGCCCACTCATACTCGGACCTGGTGAATCTGATTTCTCTTAGTCAAGTGGACCACGCCGATCCCCGCGAGCCTCTTGGTGGACCACGTCAAGAAAATTGTGATGCCATTGTCGGGGAAATAATTCTTTTTCGAGGTCAACCCGTCATGACGGGTAGACCTCGAAAAAGAATTTTACAACCAAACTCCCTCGCACAACACTGGGCACGGGACTGGCGCGCACTGGCACTAACACAGTTGTGCGAAAAAGAATGTCCTCACATTTTCCAGCAAAGATGCTCTCCGTCTTAGACATTTGAAATATTTGATGCCTGCCTTCAGGAGTCGTCGGCGAGTCGGCGGCGGAGGGAGGGGTGGAGAAAATGGACCGTGGCTCGTCCACGGTCACCAGGAGGCGGCTGCAGCTGCCCACCCGTCGCCGACGCCAAGGCGGAGAAGGCGCGCCGCGGCTGGCGCGGCTGCGGCCGAGGAGCGGCACCTCGCACCCTGGGCGGTGGGCGGGCAAGCTGCAGTCGAGCGTGGCGGCGCAGCTCCGCACAGCCGAGTCGCGGTCGGCGCCCTCCCTCGCCAGCGCCTCGACGTCCGCCACCAGCTGCGCCGCGCCCTGCGCAGCGGAGGTGCGACGATGCTTCAGTGGCCGCCTCGGCTGCCCCGCCGCCGCCGCCTCCGACCCCGCCTCCGCCGCCGCCTCGGGCTCCGGCTCCTGCTCCGCCTCCATCGCGCCCTCCTCCGCCTCCGCCTCCGCTGCGGCCCGCGCCGGCCCTCCCGCGCCAGCCACCTCCGCCTCGCCGACCGCCCGCGCGCGTCCACCCGCCGCCTCTGCCGCCGCCCTGGCCCTGATGGCAGGCGAACCGCTGCAGCGTCTCGAGCAGCTCCTTCTCCTCCTCCTGCGCGAGGGGAGGCGAGGGGAGGATGAGGGCGGGGTCGGGCGGGGCGAGAGGAGGGGCCGAGGGAGAGGGCGGCGGGAGGGGCGAGAGGTGGCGGGGGCGAGACGAGAGCGCGGCTCGCACCGTGCAGTGAGTATCGGCAGCCCCCGAGCGGCGGAGAGGGCGGCGGAGGCGGGGACGGGACGGCCCGCTCGCCTTGCTCAGCCCGGCCCACCCGCCGCTGTCCTCACCACGGTCGCCACCACCTCCTCGAGCCACCTCTGCACCTCGAGCGACGTCTCGATCGAGACGGACCTCGCCGCCAGCCTCGCGCTCTCCGCGGCGGCCGCCGTCGCCTCTCGGGCGGCGACGGCCTTGAAGAAGCGCTCGATGGGCGGCGCGGCGGCAGTGCACCGCGGCAGGTCCGCCAGGTTGAGGGTGAGGCCGTCGTAGGCGACGATGGACGAGCTGCTCGCCCACGCTGCCGACGCCTGGTACCAACCTCCAGAGTCTCGAACCGAGTGTGGGTTCGGTGTCCTTTTGCGAGGAGGGTCGTCGCCTCGCTCTCGTACCGCGCAGACAGGTGCGTCAGGACGGTGCGGTAGGCGCCCATCGCGGCGGCGACGCCGAGCGCCTCGGAGGTGGAGCTGTGCCGCTTGCGGAGCGCCATGGCGGACTGCTCGGCGCTGAAGGTGGCCTCGTGGATGAGGAGGGTGGCGCCCGCACCTGCAGGAAGGTTCCAGGAGAGGTCCGGGAAAGGTCCAGGAGGGGAGGAGCGTGGCGCGCGCGCCGGCCGCAGCCAGCGCGGAGCACGGCCTCGTGTCGCCAGAGTACACGAGCCGCCAGCCCGCCTGGCGGCGGGCGGGCGCGTGTGTCAGAGGGCGCAGAGCCGCGGCGCATGGCGAGGGCCGGAGGCACGGCCGGAGGGGCGCCCTGCCGTGGAGATGTGGGGGGAGATGGGGAGAGATGGCGAGAGATGGGGAGAGATGGGGAGAGATGGGGAGAGATGGGGAGAGGTGGGGAGAGGTGGGGAGAGATGGGGAGAGATGGGGAGAGATGGGGAGATTTGTATGGGGGGATGTGGGCGCCTTGCCGTCGAGGACGACACCCCACGCGTCGGGGCAGTGCAGCACTCGCACGGAGCGGAGGGAGGCGAGCCCGAGCCCAGACTGGCGGAGCAGCCAGTGCCGCTCCGTGCAGCGCGGGTTGTTCACAGCCTCGTTGTGGGCAAAGGCGACGCGGAGCCGGCGGGCCGGCGGCAGCAGGGCCTGGGACCGCTCGAGCCATCACAATGGGGAGAGATGGGGAGAGATGGGGAGAGTTGGGGAGAGCTGGGGAGGAAATGGGGAGAGCTGGGGAGAAGTGGGGAGAGGTGGGGAGAGACGGGCCTGGTACCGCTCCAGCCACCGGCCGATGGCGTGAGGCCCGATCACGAGCAAAGGAGGCGTGGCGTGCCGCGCGCCAAGCGGCAGAGCTGGCGGCGTGCGTGCGCGCTCAACGGCGGCGAGCAGCGTCGGCAGGCCTAGAGGAGCACTGGGCGACGGTGTGGCAGAACGGGCGGGCGGGCGGCGAGAGCGGCGCGGCGAGGGGCGGCGACCGAGGTGGTGGTCCGCGTGGGCGTGCGAGATCCACACTGCGGTGAGGCGCCGGAGCACTGCGGCGGTGCCGGCCGTGCCAAAGGTGCGGCCGAGCTGGCCGAGGCACCCCTCCCCCGCGTCGAGCAGGAGCCCGCCTGCAGGGGGTGGGACCGAAGAGGAGGGGTGGGACCGAAGAGGAGGGGTGGGGGAAGGGTGGGGGGGGGGGGGGGGAAAGGTGGGGGGGAAGGGTGTTTCCCCCCACCGGCGAGGCGGCAGGGCCGGGCCGGGCTCACCGCGCTCAAAGGCGTGGAGGTAGATGGCGGCGGGCGCGCGGTACGTCGAGGGCGCCGCGCAGCCGGTGCCGAGGAAACACGCGAGCAGCTCTCGCCTAGAAAGCTCCTAGAAGGTGCCTAGAAGGTTCCTAGCCGGTGCCGAGGAAGCACGCAAGCAGCTCTCGCCGGCCGCAGCGAGCGATGCACTGCGGAGGCGGCGGCTCGAGCCGAGGAGTCGCGTCGCGCGGGGTCGCCTCGGCCTTCAGCGGCACCGACGTCACCGCACAAGCGGCCTCCTCCTTCCCCTCCTCCTCCCCCTCCTCCTCCCCCTCCTCCTCCCCCTCCTCCTTCCCCTCCTCCTTCCCCTCCTCCTCCCCCTCCTCCTCCGGCGTCGCCCCGTCCCCCACAACGAACGCGCCGCCCGCGCACAACGCCCGCACCTCAAAGCGAGTCATCGGTGGCGCTGTGCTCAGTGACGGCGGCAGCGACAAGGCCGCCTCGCCGCCAGCGACCCCTCCGCCCTCGGCGCCCTCGGCCGCCCCAAACGGAGGGTAGAGGTGCGGCCCAGCAGCAAGACGCAGCGCCCTCTGCTGCCGCGCCGACCGGCCAAAAGCGATGGCCCCGTCGGCTGGGGGAAGGGCGTCCGCCCGCAGCAAGACACACCTATACGGCGGCGCACGGCGAGGCGTGTGAGCAAGGCACGAGTCGCGCCGCCAACCAGCCGCGCTGCCGCGGGCTCGCCTACACGCGCGGCCGAGGCCCAGAAGCCACTGCGCGAAAGGGGCGCTGCACGCGAAGCGAGACGGCGCGGCGAGCAGTGCGAGGGAAAGGGCCACGCCGCCGCCTCCTCGCGGCAGCGGGCGCGCCAAGCTGCGGCGCAAGCCTGCCAGGCTCGCCTCGTCGGACACGGTGCAAAAGAGTGCCGCTCCGGCGCCGCACCCGTCGACGAGGAAGGCGAGGCGCGTCACTGCCGCGAGCCGTCCCGCGGCGAGGGCCGAGTCCGGCTGCGGCGCCCACGGGTACCGCTCCATCACGAAGAGAGTGGGCGCCGCTGCGCACGCGGAGCCATCCGAGGGCCGTGCCGCAGGGCGGGGAGCTGTCGGGCGGGGAGCTGCAGGGCGGGGAGCTGTAGCGCGGGGAGATGCCGCGGCGGGCGGAGACGCCGCTCGTAGGCTCGCCTGCGCTGCTGCCGTAGCCGCCTCGTCCGCGGAGAGCGCGAGGGCGGCGGCAGGAGAGCGAGGGGCGGGAGCCCGCCGCCCTCGCCTCGCCGTCGCCGCGGCCGCAGCGCCGGCCGGAGTCTCGAGCCACTGCCGCACGAGGCGCGAGCGGAGCGCGGCGTCGGTGTGGGCGCGGCGCACCAGCAGCGCCGAGAGTCCGCCGCCGCCGTGCTGCACGAGTATCTCGAAGACCGCCGCCTCGTCGACAGCTCCCTTCTCGTCGCCGCCGCCGCCGCCGCCATCGCCGCTCTCACCATCGCCGCTGTCGCCATCGTCACTGGTGCTGCTGCTGTCGTCGCTGCTGCTGCTGTCGCTCCCCTCGTCGCTGTCGCCGCCGTCGTCGTCGCGGCCGCCGCCTTCGGCGCCACCCGAGGCCTCGTTGCTCATTGCTTTTCCACCAGCGCTGCTGCCCCCGTCGCTGTCCCCACTGCTGCTGCTGCTGCTGCTGCTGCTGCTGCTGCTGCTGCTGCTGCTGCTGCCACTATTACCACCACGGCCGCCGTCGCCCTCGCTGCCGCTGCCGCGCTCGGCGGCGCTGCCGACGCGGCGACGTTTCGCAGCCGGCACCGATTCGGTGTCGGTGGGAACGTCAGCGAGCCACCTGGAGGGGTGAGGGAGAGCGCTGAGCAACACGGCTTGTGCGGGAGAGCAGGGGAGAGCAGGGCTCAACGGGAGAGCCCACCCGTCGAGCGGCAGGGAGCAGAGCCGCAGTTCGACGCCGCCGCCCGCGTGCCACGTGAGCGCCAGGCCGCCGTCGATCGCGACCGCCTGCCCGAGACGAGTGTGGAGGTGAGACTTGACTGTGTGGCTGTGTGGCTCAAGCTGCGGTGCACAGTCGCCCGGTTCGCCTCCACCACCAGCGGCTCGAGGCGCGCAAAGAGGCTCAGTGAGGCCACATAGGCCTGGACGCCGTCCGGACCAAAGACGACGAGCCGCCTGCGTGCGAAGCGCGCTTGGGCTGGCCGCGGCCGCGTGCGTGCTCACATGGCTGGGCAGAGGCGCACCTCACACCAGCGTGCGCCAGGCTGAGCAGCAGGCCTGGCAGCCCGGCGACCGCAGCGGCGTCGAGCGAGGAGAGGAGGACTGCGTCGAGGTCTCGGTGCAGCTTGAGCCGGCGCTCGGCGCTCAGCCGCTGCGAATCAGGCGGGGCGGTTGGTTGTGGCGTGAGCGGGAGGTTCACTGTCTGGCTGTGGCAGGCGGCAGGCCTGCAGTCCCTCCGACGCGTTGAGGAGCAGGCGGCGGCCGCTGCTCGCCTCGACCAGCGCGCACGGCGTAGTGCCGTCGTCCCCAGTGCCGACGCACGTGATCTGCATGGGGTGTGGGGCAATGGGGCGCCCTAAGCACAGCCGCAGCTGCAGCGACGCAACGTCGAACTGGCGGGCAGGCGGGACGCCTGCGTCGGCGCAGGAATTCTTTTTTCAAGGAATTCGTAGCCTGCTGCGGGCCCAACATTGCCCTAGCCCGCAGGCCCAACGATGCCCAAGAAGAAGCCGCAGCTGCCGCTCTGCACGTACGGCGCCGCCTGCACCAGACCCGGCTGCATCTACCGCCACCCTCCCAAGGGCGCCGTGCGGAAGAGCGAGATCGTCTGCAAGCCATTCCTGTCGGGATTGTGCGAGTTCGGGTCCAGGTGCCAGAACATCCATCCCGGGCCCGAAGGGCGGACAAGCTGCGCCGCAAGCAAGTACGCACTGTCCTGATAGCGTGCGAGTGGGGCGGGACCGGCTTTTGGCAATGGGGCGCCAAAAGCAATGGGGCAATGGGGCGCCAAAAGCACAGCGTCCTCTGTTGCCGACAGCGATTTCTTCGCCTCGGCGGCTCCGGTGGTGAGCAGGTGTGTGTGCCAGTCCGCGCCAGCCGCGCCCTTGTCGTGCCAGTGTGCTGTGAGAGAGGCTGGTATTTTGCATTTGGTGATTTGCCTTTGGTCAACAGCGAGGGCTATCGGGCGCGGCCGTTCAAGGCCGTTTTGAGGCCCAAGAATGCCCAAGAAGAAGCCGCAGCGACTGTCTGTCGTTCTCCACACCGCTTTGGTGGGCAGACGGTGAACGAGCTAGCGTGCGGGGAGAGCGGCTTTGTGCACAAACCTTTAGTGCATTGCCGTTCTTACCGGAGTCGCTTAGGGCCTTAGGCGCACAGTAGGCGGTTCCGGTGGTTTGCTTGTGATAGATAGTGCTAGCACGCGCCAGTGCGCACCTATTCTTTTTCTAAGCAAAATTCGAGCCACTTCCAACAAAACTTCCTCGCACAACACTGGGCACACTGGGCATCGGACTAGGCCACTTCGACCCTGACGGCAAGGAGCCCGAACCCAGCGCGTTTGTCGTGAGGCTGTGAACCTGCAGGCCCAACGATGCCCAAGAAGAAGCCGCAGCTGCCGCTCTGCACGTACGGCGCCGCCTGCACCAGACCCGGCTGCATCTACCGCCACCCTCCCAAGGGCGCCGTGCGGAAGAGCGAGATCGTCTGCAAGCCATTCCTGTCGGGATTGTGCGAGTTCGGGTCAAGGTGCCAGAACATCCATCCCGGGCCCGAAGAGGCGGACAAGCTGCGCCGCAAGTACGCGCGATTAGCGTGCGAGTGGGGGAGCGCCTGTAAAACCCGCGGCTGCCTATACCGCCATCCGGCGCCAGTCGACACTATTGCAGGAACGCTCGCGGCGGCCAGCCTCGGCGGCGGTGCCAAGCACGCAGCAGCAGCCGCGCCGGTCGGCGGCGAGCTGGCGGCGCCGGCGAGCGGGCAGAGGCGGATGCCGCTGCTCGCGGGCGGTGTGTGGCAGGAGGACCTGTTGGAGACGGAGGAGCCGCAGGACGCGCCGTCAGTGAGGCCGCCGCAGAAGCAAGGGACGCCGGAGACGCGCCGGGGCGCCGCCTCGGCCGAGGAGCGTCCCTTTTCCTCGCCTCCACTCCGCGCGCCGAAGCGGCCTCCACGGGTCCTCTCTGTCCAAGACGGGGCCGGGATCGCCGCCCTCTCGGCTGCGCTCGACGAGGCGGTGTCTCGGGGAGAGCCTGTTGCGTTCGACTGCGAGTGGCGGCCGCGCAACCGCCACGAGAACCCTTCCGACGACGACGGCTCGCTGCAGCTGCTGCAGCTCGCCACGCCGCGCGAGGCTTTTGTCGTCGACGTCGCCGCCTTCGCCTCGCCCGGCGCCGAGGAGAGCCGCTCGGAGCTGCGGCGCTGCCTCCTCCGCCTGCTCCGCGCCGAGGAAAGCGAGAAGCTCGGTTTCGCCTCCGGCGAGGACCTTCGCCGGCTCGAGACCTCGCTGCCGGGCGTCACCGAATGCGCCGCGAACATGCGCGATTTGCAGCGCGCCGCGACGAGGGCGGTCGGCTCGCCGCGCCGGACGGTGGTTGGGTTGGCCGGCGCATGCGAGGCGCTGCTGCGAGCGAGTCTTGACAAGTCGCGCCAGAGCTCCGACTGGGCCGCGAGGCCGCTGTCGGCGGAGCAGCTCGAGTACGCGGCGCTCGACGCGTTCGTGCTGCTCGAGCTGGAGGAGGAGCTCAGCCGGCTGGCGCTGCTCCCTCCGAGCCCGCCGCGCGGCGACGCGGCGGAGGAGGCGGCAGAGGTGGCAGAGGCGGCGGGAAAGGAGGCGGCTGGGGCGGACCCGCCGCCGGCGCAGCCACTCGACCTGCTGCTCTGCGCCGAGTGCGCGAGCGACTCGGCCGCCGGCGCCATCGACCCCGACGATGGCCTCTTCTACTGCGACGCTTGCTGGCGCGCCTTTGAGGCGGAGGCCGCGCCGCCGCAGGCCGTGCCACAGGCCGCGCCGTCACCGCCGCGCGGGGAGGGTGCCGCGGTGGCGGCGGCGGGCTCCTGGGCGGGGCGCGTCGGCGCGGCGGCGAGCGCGCTGCCGTCCGAGCCGGCGTCGCGGCTCCCTCCTCCTCCTCCACGGCTTGCACCGCCGAGGGTGGTCCGCTCCTCGAGGGAGGTTCGGATCCCCGCCGAGTCGTGGGTGGACTTGGCGGCGCGCGCCGGCGCCAGCGCCTTTGCGATCGCAGACCCGATGGAGCGCTTCGCCGCCGTGAACCGCTGCCACCGCAGGCCGGACGGCAGCGTCTGGCCGCTCACGCTGCTGTTTGAGGACGAGGCTGGCGGCGGAGGGGCAGGAGGGGGGCTGGTGGACCTGCACTTCCAGTCGCGAAGCACGGTGTCGGCGGTGCTGGAGGAGGTGCTTCCTCCGATGCTCTCCCACCACGCCGAGGTTTGGGTCGTGACGGGCAGCGGCCACCACGTCGCGCAGCGCTCGCACCAAAAGCAGGGCGGGGTGCTGTGGGCTGCCGTGGACGCGCACCTCGGCGAGGCGCTGCCCGGCCTGAGCGAGGCGGACAGGCGCTGCTGGTACAGCTACCACCCGGCCAAGGACCACAACGGCTACCACTGCGCCTTCCTCGTCCGAAGAAGGCGGCGGTGAACCTCTCGTGAGCCTGTGTCTCGGGGAGCTGGTGCGGTATCGTGTTCACATTGCCCGATTGCGGAGAGTGATTCTGAGATCAGGTTAGGCAAGTGGCAGACATTTCAAAAAATGGGCGCCGCAGGCCGCGCCCCGGCGCTGCCTGAGCCCTGGTGTCGAGGTGTCGAGGCCCGGTGTCGAGGGTGTCGAGTTGCTGTCGAGGCCCTCGGAGGGCCGTAGACGGTGTTACTGTACTTCCGCCCGCCAGGATTGGTCTTCTCTGCCTGCGGGAACACCCTCGGGCGGCCGGGTGGGGCTGCGGCTGGAGCTAGCATGGCTCGATAGAGCCGAGACCCCGTGTTGAGGCGGCGCTCCTGTGGGCGGCTGTGGAATCGGCAGATTCGACCTCAGGTCTCCAGTACTCTCATCCCAGTGGATGGACGTCCGGACGTCCCTTTGTGTTCCTCTTCCCGTCCGCCAGCGAGACGCCCAGTCGCTGGCGGCCGCAGTTCTCTGTGAAGGCTGCGCTGCGCAAGCACGGGCGGGAGGGGCTTCTCCTGCGGAGTCGTGCGTGCGCAGGGCTCCTCTTTGGATGCTTTCTTCTACTCCCTACTATCATCTCGTTCCCGTCCTACCAGAGAAGGTAAAGCCGTAGAGGTGTCGAGGCCTGTCGAGGCCTGTCGAGGCCTGTCGAGGCCTGTCGAGGCCTGTCGAGGCTGAAACCATGCTTGTCCGTGTCGAGGGGTGTCGAGGGGTGTCGAGCGTGTCGAGCGTGTCGAGCGTGTCGAGCGGGTGTCGAGTGTTGTCAAGGGGTTTTGCGTGTCTAAGGTGTCGAGGTGCCAAAAGGAATTCGCACCAAGGAGCTTGACCTACGCGAGTTTTGCGTGCGCGTGCGCACGCACCTGGGTAGAGACGTGCTCATCAACACGGTGCGCGGGCTGCAGCAATTGCATGGCGTGGCATCTCACTGTCAGTGTGCTGAAAACGCCAAAAAAATCGGCTGCTGCGGCGGCGGCCAGCCTCCGGCGGCGCCTGCGACGGGCCGCTGGGGCTACCCCCCCAGACCCCGTTTACACCCGAGCTATGCCCCACAACCTGAGCCGCAGCAATAATGGGGGACTAGCACTAGCCGTCTTCCACATGGCCCCTCGGGTCCCTGCTGCTCCTAATCTCTTCGTGCATCCTCCTGTGATCTCCGCAAAGTCCTGATCCTTGCTTCGTCTCGCCCTGCGCGTCTGCTTGAACTCCCACTCGATACCTCCCAAGTCTCAGCCACAAGGACTAGGTGCGCTATTGGGTGGAGACTCTCAAGCTCGCGGTGCATTTTTGGGCAAGAACAACCCGTATGCCCAGACTCCCCCCCTCCCCTAGCGAGGGTCGACAGCGTCCTAAAGCTATAGCTAAACCTAATCTAAAATCTGATGATTCAGGATTGAGACATCGCTTCAGAGAGCCAAAGTGAGGCGAGCCAAAGTGAGGCAAGTACGGAACACGAGGAGGCACGCGGACCGACTCGTCGGTGACTCTGCTGCACGCCGTTTCAGATTTTTTACTCAGCGGAAGAGTGCCACCGTCGAGGAGGACGATAACCCGATATCCCGACAAACCAACACGGTGGGAACCACGGACGAGGGCAGGGCCTCCTCGGGCGGAGGTGGTGGCCGTGGCTCGAGCATTCTCCGCCCTCCCGGCAGCCCCCCGCCCCCAGCCCACCTGCCAATGTCCCCCTCCGCCAGGCCTGCAAGGTGGCTCCTCCCCACCCGCCACTTTACGGTGGCTGCATCGACTCGTCGTCCGCGTCCTTGCACTTCTGTTTGCGCCAGCTCCACTTGCAAGATGCGGCGCTGTTGCAGGCCTGCTTGGTGTCCAGATCCTTGCAGGTAAGGGTTGTGTTGGCCAAGGGTGGTGGTGGCGATGGAGACGGCGGCGGTGGCGGCATCGACTCGTCGTCCGCCGGCATCGACTCGTCGTCCGCGTCCTTGGGTTGTGCTTTTGTGGGAATCGCACGTGAGAGAGCCTGATTGTGAAATTCTTTTGAGGGAGCCGCTGTAAAATTCTTTTGAGGCGCCCGTCGATATCAATTGGGGCGCGTCGCCGTTTTTGCCCTGTTCCGCAGTGCGCGTGCGGAGCCAGTAGACCCGCACCGGCCCAGATAGTTCGGCTGAGCTCGCCCAACCACAGCTATCGCGCCCGTGCGCTCTATGACGATGGCCGGTGGCCTGCATATCGCGCTTTGTGTCCTCGCCATCGACCCGCCCGAGATGTTTTCGTCCTTCTCGCCGTCGGCCGAGGCGCACCGCCTGGTCTTCCACCACCATCTCAACCTCACCGTCAGCCCCGTGGAGCACACGGCCTCCTCTCGTCGATTCGCCGACTGCTCGGCCGGCGTCCAGGACCCAAGCCGCAAGGTCTGCTGCAGCGCTGCGTGCGGGCTGTGCGGCGGACGCGGCTGCTCCAGTCGGCCCGGCGGGCCACGCCAGTGCTGCATGCCCGCTATTGTGCGTACGGGTCGGGTGTGCGAATCACGGGCGGACGTGGCCTGCATCCTGCGGGGCAGCAGCAACTACATCCGGGGCGACGGCGTTGAGCATCACGGCAGTGCCGCTGTCCTCGCCGCAGCTGGTGGCGACGCTGCGCCCCCCGCCAGTACGCAGCCCGCCAGCCTCGCTGTCCTCGCCGCAGCTGGTGGAGAGTCTACGCCACCCGCCAGCCTCGCACCAATGAAGCTGCATCCTCGACTGCCGCCGATCCGAGTAAAGCGAACACCTTACGAGTACACACGCAGAGGCTCGCGAGGCAAGGCCTTGGGTGATCGGGGCCGAATACAGCCGATGCTGCCACTGGCCAACGAACGGTCGCAGGTCCCCTTGTGGTTCCATCGACACGTGCATAAGACTGGAGGCACGACTGTGCGCGGCATCATGGCTTCGCTTCACAAACGCGGGGATGCCATCGCGCGGAGAGGGCTCGGCTCCTGGTCCTGCAAGATTGACTGGGGCCATGTGGACGAGGCGCTGGAAAGAGCGCACAACGCGTCGCTGCCACGCCCGGCTTCGCCACGGGCATTGGTGTTCGAGCTGCACGAAGCGTGCACGGGCTGGGTGAGCCAGGAGCTGCCTCGCATCACGGAACTAAGGTTCCTGCCGTCGGCGAGGGTCTTCTTGACAACACTTGTGCGGTCGCCCTTCTCGCACTCACTCTCGGCTTGGATGTGGGGCGGCAAGCCATCCTTCGGCAGATTCAACCGCACCATCGACTACTGGCTTCCGTACAACATGCAGTCTAACCAGCTGCTGCACGGCGACTTTGACCGCTTCATGATGGGAAATAAGGAACCAATGGGCAAGCGGTACCGCCACTTCGGCGAGGCGGAGTTCAACCGCACGCTCGATGTCGTGCGGCGCTTCGATCTAGTGTGCACGACGGAGGAGCTCGCGCCCTGCATGGAGCGGCTGCTGCAGGAGCTCGGGCTGCCATTCGTCCGGATTGGCCACGTTGCGCCCGCGCACGGCCGGGTGGGCGGCACGCCTGCAAACGAGTCCAAGGTCGTGCAGGAAGAGTGTACCGCCAAGGGGCTGGACTGCGCCACGATTGTGGCGGAGCGGACCCGCTACGACGCGAGGCTGTTTGCCCACGCGCTGGGGCTGTGGTCCGTTGCGCGCGCCGCACCTGTAGGTATAGCACGGCTGCCGCCAATCGGCCATCCCCCTCTCGTAGCCGAACGGCGCACCGGGGGGGCTGTCGCCCCCACGCTGCCGCTGGGCAATCACCGCGTGGCTTTCCTCCACTACCACAAGACCGGCCACTGACCAGTGGCGTCGTACTCCATGCGGCGCGCATAGCGCACCTCGATCGAGGTGCCAATCCGTGACAAAGCGGGTCATTCCCGTCCTCTCCTCCAGGCTATTGCTCAGCCAGAGCGTGCCCTCTGCTTGCGCCTGAAGGTACGCCCCAAAGTCAAAGGAGCCTCCGCCCTCTACCCTTGTCTGCTTCAGTTTGTCCTTGTCCAACCCCCACCTCTCCGCCCACGTCGCCACATTCCCGTCCATGTCGATCGAGGCGAAGAGCGTCTTCACCCGTGCGCGTCTCTCCCGCTGCCCCTCTCCCTGGAACAGGGCCGCCCCCATGCTGCTTAGGATTTCCTCCCTGTTGCTCAGGAATTGCTTTGTCACGCCGCTCCCCGGCCCCACCATCTGCACTCGCGCTCGCGGGTGCGCCGCAGCATCATCAAAGTCGTGGGGAACGGGCCAAGGGCCAGCGTCCGAAGTCGGCGTGGGCTGGCAGCGCAAACGGATCGACGTCACGGTCCGACGGCACCGCGTATTCCCTCGACGACGGCCTGCATATGCAACGGGCTGATTTCATTTGAACCGAGCTTGGCCCGGACCTGTGCTGCATCCCCAGATGGGAGGAACCGTCTCGGAGGCACGAAACGTATCGGGTCACTTTTTTTCTCGGCCATCGCCGCAGCCGGCCATCGCGCGCGCAAGCTACACAAGATAAACACAGGGCGTTTCCTTTGCTTGATCTTGTCCTGCTCCGCGCCTGGCCCTGCGGCTGCCGCGCGCGCCCCCAGGACACACAATGGGCAGCAGGGGCAGAGTGGCTGAGTGCTGGGCGTGGGCTGCCACGCCAATAATGGGACTAAGCATGGGACACGGCGCACATTCACACTCCCCCCCCCTCGCGCCCTCACAAGCTGTGCACCAGCTTGAACACGTCGTCGCCCGCTCCGCCAGTGAGGAGCATCACCTTGCGCGTGAGCTCACCTACAGGACGCGTCTCGGACGTGTCGTGGACGAGTCGATGGGCTGCGCCAGCCGAGGCACTGAGAGCGTCTCGCGCCCGAGTCGAGCTGCGACTGCAGGCCGCGGTTGCGCAGCAAGCCAACGTGCGCGTACCTGCGCGGGTGCGGTGCGCGGGCGCGCGCGGGTGCGCGGGAGGCGGGAGGGCGGCCTCTCCCCCTCGGTGCTGTGCGCACAGGCTCAGCACGGCGCGCAGCTCGGAGGACGAGTACGGCCCGACGCGGCGGAGGGCGGAGCGGAGGGGCCCGTGCAGCGCGCGCGGGCGCGAGTAGTCGAGCGGCGGCGGGAAGTGCTTTCTCTGCCGGCGCGGCGTGAGGGGCGGGTGGGGCGGCGAGTGCGAGACGGCGCAGAGCATCATCCCGTTGGCCATCGAGGCGCCAAACCTGCAGCCCGAAGGGGGAAAGGGAAGAGGGGGGGGGGGGTGTAGGCGCAAGGTGGTTGAGGCGGCGGCCTCCCGGCGGCGATCCCAGCAGCGGCGGGTTGGGGGTGGGGGCCCGGGTGCTTGCCCCCGGCAAGTGTCCGCGCGGGGGCGTGCTCACTCCAGCGACCCGAGCAGGGACGGCCCCAGGAGCTGCCAGGCGTGCAGCGCCGCGGCTCGAGCCCCAATTGCGCGAGGTTGCCATCTCGCCCCACAGCTGCCACCCGTCGACCGCGAACAGCACCTGCTCCCG